CACGATCTTTTATCGTATATCTTTCTAACATCAAAATTTGGATGCAGTATGGGTTGCCAGAACCTTCGAACTTCTACTCTCTCTAAGCCCTCTCTAACAAACGTGAGTAATGAATAGATGCTGATTTAGAGATTCTAGACGTCTATATATAGACTACGACAGAAATCCTAAAAAGAAATATGGATCGGGTTTTCAATGGGTAAGTCTTGCCTCAAAATTATATTCGAGCTCTTTATTATTATATATTTAATAATTTTCATACGTTTAAAATTACTGATGTTCATCAATTAAATAAATTACTGACAATTATATTTAATTGACTTCTTTTATTTCGTGAGACTTTATCACTCAACTTATTTGTCATGTCGGATAATTAAATTCACTTGCAGAGTTTGATATGGACAAAACTTATGAGCTTCCTCAAGAGGACATCGTCAACTCATTTAAATACCAGGACGTGGTTTCCTTTAATAATTAGTTTTCACCATATAAATAATATTGTCTCCCAATTCACCGAGCTCATTGACTCAATATGAATCTCATTCTTTGATGAATTAAAGTGACAAACATTATATGCATGTGACAATTAAATATTTCAAGATTAAGAGTATAAACAATCATAATAATTATGAAGTATTTATTATCTTATTGAATCAGTAAAAGATAATAACTTCAATATAGGTCTATTCAATACACAAAATGTACTAGTGCAATAATCCAAAACATCAAACAGTCTTCTACAGTCAAGACAGACTATGCCAGAATATTACATTATAATCACACTAATGGTGTGTCCAATTCCATCTAGGATTATGAACATATACTCATATTATACAAGGATCCGATCATCTGGTCGTCTGTGCGTAAGCCGAATTCTACACGCTAGATTATCTACAGTGTAAAACATAAGACATACATCATACCATATATCAAATATAATGTAAATATTTTTGCCCACATAGATTCTCAATAAAATGGAAAGAACAATGTTTTATTAATTAATAAAACGAGTTTCACTACAAAAAATAAGTTTTTAGTATACAACTCTGTCACAAATTTCAAGCACTTAAGAGACAATAAATAAATACAGTTCCATCAGTAAAAGTTAAAATACTGAGCAGAAATAAAGCTAATAAACACATATCCTCTTCATGCCTAGCAGTCTCTTCTTCATTTTTCAACATAACAACCCCTACTTGTAGTGCTTGTAATATTTGTCTACCAGAACTTCATTGGTTAGTCTAAAATGTATTAATAGCTAACAAAGTTCTCTTCTTGCAAATCATTCTTGGACTTCGCTCCCATATACACAAGTTTGTGTTTATTAGTTTCCTTCTTTTTAATGAAATTCAAACAAGTTTTCACCATTCATTACACTCTCTTGAATCATATGCTTAACTCTTACTTCTAACTAGGCTCTCAAAGAAATGCATTTGAATGCACCCTTAGGAAATCCAAGTATCATGAATAAATACAACAAGATGAAGCATCTTACACTACTTTCTTGAACACATCATTTCGTGAAAGATGAAATTCTAACCAAATTGTGGTTCTACATCAGTTCAATTTCTCTTCCTTTTTCTGACAACATTAGAAAGAACATGCTAGTAAGGCTGAAACGATTTGGAGGAAGAATTGAAGGTAATGATTGAAATGAGTTTGGGGGGGGGGGGAGTATTAAAGGTGGTGGCTGAAATGGGTTTGGTGCAATGGAATCCCGAAGGCCAAAAGTTGCTAATGGCTCAACACGGGTAGGCTTAAGGCTTACCTTAGCAGGCTCTCGCCCTATATAGCTCGTAGCCTGAGGACTAGTCGCTGGTATTGGCTAAGGGTGTGAGAGTTCGCACCTATGGTCAATCAATAGGTCTATTTTGACCTTCAGCCATTTCCAGTTGTTGTTCCTCTCCGAATGACAGGTTCTTACACGTTATTCACCCGTCTGTCACTAGAAACACCACTTCCCATACGACTTGTCTATATTAAGAATGTTGTTAGTGTTCATTCTAAGCCAAGATCGAACTCTCCATGAGATTCATAGTTTCATTACTTGACAACCTTGATATTCTAGTAACCAAGATCATGCTATTAGAGAGCACACAATTAGAGTCCTTACATAAGGACTTCTCAGTTAGTGGTGATAAATATGGGAGTCCAGGAGGTGGTGGCAAAGGAGGGAATTACTGATGGTAAACTCTCGGTTGAGAAGGTCTGGGAAGAATATGAAGGATTGAAGTTTTAAAGTGTAACTGAATATTGAATTTAGATGAATATTTTTTGGAACTCAATAAGTCTAAATATTAAATTGTCTTTATAATTCATGAAGTTTAAACATTAAATTGTTTGTATTTAATGGAAGACAAAATTGACTTTATTTTGTTACCCAATGACAAAATAGGGAAATTAACGGTTTTTCAATTAGCATACTTTTATTTGTAGTTATAGATTATAAATAAATTAATATGGCATAGATAGATAGATATAGGTAGATAGATATGCAATTAATTCATTAATTATCAAATTTGGCCAATTTAATTGATGAACACTCATAGAGCAAGAATACCAATAGTTACTCGGGTTAAGGTATAACATTAAACCATGACCTGAACTTAAAAGGATAAAATTGAACTTATAATATTAATTGCGGAAAAATTAGGAAATTTTTTTAAGTCACCTTTTATTATTAGTATAGATATAAATATGTGTGTGGAACATGTTGAATGGGCGAGGAGGATATAGATAGACGACTGTAAAGATGACGTTTTGATTATTGGAATACAAAAGAGTAATAAATCATGATTAAAGTAAGAAATCATGATTAATAATTAACTCTTTTCTTATTCTCTACTTAGTATATTAATTTGAATTCATTGAAAGTGTAATAGATAGTGACTATTTAGTGGAATAAGGGAGGAGATGAAAGGCCATTGCACTTATTCAATAAATAGATGAACTTTTATGAGATGAAAAACCATTGCACCTGCTCAATAAATAGATGAACTTTTATGATTAACAACATTTATAATATATTTATTCATAGTAGTTTAGATAATTAAAAAATGTTAGAGGGTAAAAGAAGAAAACAAAAAAAATTCCAATACTTTTTAAAGTAGTATAGATGTATAGATTGTTTTTGACATTGTAAACTACATCAAGTTAAACCCATCATTCCTATAATAAATCGATTCAAAACTAAAATTAACGCAATGATTTTTGATTGGCCTGATAATCGTAGACATGACTCGTGAAATCAACATGAACTCGACATGAATTTAGCTGGTTTAGGTGTAATTTTAATGGGTTCAAGTGATTAATGAGTTAATTCGATAGATCTTTGAAATAAACGAACCGATTTCGTATTTAACCTATAAGCTATTTTCAACCCATTAACAGTGACACTATAAATTCCAAAAGAAATTATTAGGTCTCTCTTCATCTCACATCTCCCATATCTCAGACTCATTCTAATTTGGTTGGAATTTAATGCTCAAACATAACTTATTATAATAATAAACAGGTCAAGCAAGTATATGTGGTGAGTTAATGATTTTTTGTTTGGACTCGAAATATTCTAATAAATTCTCTTATTTAGCGACTGACACACAGATTGTGTCGGGTAACCCGTCTAATAAACGAATCGTGTATAGATACGATAGTTGGACCCTTTTATATAAATAAATAGCGTATGGATGATGAGTTTTTTGACATGATCCTATTCCACCTGACACAAAACTGTTTCACCTAACACAATTGTCAGACCTAATTTTTGACACCGTATAGTACATCAAGTTAAACTCATTGTTCTAATTCCCATAAATTGGTTCAAAACTAAAATTAACCTGTGCCTCAGATCTAGAGAACGCTGAACAAAACAATTTCTCAAGCTAAAAAAAAAATTCAGCAAAAAAATTGTAGTTTACTCGACGAATTGGTGTCGAATTGCTTAAAATTTGGCCAAATTCTACATTGAAAACAACATACTAAGGAAATAATTACCTTTTGAAATTAAAATTCTAACTTTCTAGGACCCAAGAAGACAAATTGCCCCACTAAACTGATAAATAAATTACTATGTACTTGATTTTCCATGAAAAAATGTAAAATCTTTTTTACTGTCACCTAATTTTCTCAGTAACTCAAACAAATTAAGAGGAACAAAAACTAATCAAAACAATGAACAACCATTCAATTCGCATATTGGAATTCAAGATAAATCAATTAAGATGAAATTCAAGATAAATCAACATTGTCAATTTGAAAGCATCCGATTTAATAGATCAAAGTACAGTCAATTAGAATTTGCTTCAAATCGAACCTAATTAGAAACTTCACATAAATTAGAATCTAAATTAATCACAAAATTAACCTAAATAAATAAAATCGAAAAAACCCATGAGCAACGAGGTAAAGTATTTATAAAATTTGCACCAAATTCAAGCTAAAGTAATTACATTAAATTGAACCTAATCGAAACAAAATCGGATTGAACCTACTCTAACCGAGTTCAGTATTTGGTGTGTTGGTGGGGTCGATGGGTTGGTGTCGCAGATGGGGTAGGGGTTGCGTAGAATGGGTTACTGGGGGGGGGGGGGGGGGGGTTTTCGCCTATGGGGAGAGATTGGGGGGGAGGGGTTGGCAAAGGGGGAGAAAGATTTTTTTTTTTGGGAGGTTTCACAGAAGGGGGAGAGAGATTGGGGTGTCTGTGTGTGTGTGAGAGAGAGAGAGAAGCAGAGAAGAAGGATAAACACTGGGTTGTGGCTGATGCGGTGGCTGGCGATGGCTGTGTGCTGTTCCGGAGGCAATGGTTTGTGGGATAAGAGAGAGAGAGAGAGAGAGAGAATGGGGCCGGGGAGGGAAGAGATGGGGCAGACTGCATGGCCTCTGGCAGAAAAGTTGACTGTTGAGGTGAGGAAATTCAACTTCCTTCCTATCTTATTATAAAGATGTAACCTTACCTCACTGCTTTCCCTAATTCGAACATGTACCGGTCAAAGTAAAAAAGTCTTACGATGGCATAAATAGACTACTGCATTTAAGCTACACGAGTCTCGTACATTTACGAAAGGTTTCCATACATAGATAGAACTCATCAACTTTTGGACAAGTCCAAAAGTGCGTTACAATAGCCAGAAACTCGGAACAAAAACAAGACAGGAGATATCATTGTAAATCACACAACATTTGACGTAAAGACAGATTTACAATTTACAAGAGTAAGATAATGCAGAGGGGTTTACTCGAACAGAACGGTATTTGTCTTGATGAGCAACTGATAATTCTTTTGCCATGCGACCCATCACTTCACTTCCGAATTGACAGGAACTCAAAGCTACGAAGAGGGTCATCACGAGTGCCCTTTGTGACAGCAGTACGAGAAAAAACAGATGGTTTGGATTCAACCCCGGGTAGGTTTCTTTGCGCAGAAGACAAGCGGCCACTGCTTGAAACTAGGCGACTTGAGCGGCCATCAGTGACTTCACCGGAGGAGCTTGGTCTGCTGCTTGACATGGCTGCTCTCTTTGAAGAGTTGCCATTTCGAGAAGTTTGGCCCTTTTCTGAATCAGGTTGCTGTAAATTAAAATAACAAAACCTTTAAAAAACAATACGGCAAATAAACAACGAAGTGTTTCGACTCATTTCTCCTGCAATAAGTAGAATACATTGGCAACTTAAATGCAACAAAAAAATAAAAAAAAATCAATTACATGTTATTGTTATCATTTTCCAGAACATTATCCTCAGAAGTAGTAGGATATATTCTTAATGGATAAAAATTCCAGCTAGCAATACTGCTCCACACCCAACCCAAAATCAATCACCCCACACAAAAAAGAAACACAACAGTAATTACCCACAAGAGACATCATTTTTTGTCTCCCTCTGTCTCTCTGTCTCTCTCAGCTTTCAAACGTACTGCCAGTGCCTTTCCATATGTGTTGATAGCCAACAGGCTACAAGGCAAACCAGTACATCAAGTTTTAGTTACCTGGAAAGTTTAAACCCTAGATATGCAGTTTTACAACCACTATTCAACTGTTTAGTTCTCACAACTGATTTTATGAAGGAAAAAAAATATCTTATAAGAACTCTGCATCACAGAGAACCTTGAATGGCAATGAATCCTTTCTCTTCAGAACAAGAACATATTTGATTTCTTCACAGAAAAGCAAGTCCAATCACATTCAGATCAAATGTCAGTCCAAAAACAGGTTGTGCCAAAGAACCCATGGAGCCAATGCATAATTTTAGAAGAGGGCAAAAAACTATACCACATCCTTGGATGAAGGTATATCCTCTGATAGCTTTTGTCTGGAGTGCTCACCGTGTCGTCCTGTGCCCAAAGCATTTCTCCTTGAAAATGCTTCAACAGCACCTGAGAATCTATCTCGAATGTCTTGGCCCACTGCATTCAACAGTTAAATCACAGAAGTCAAGCAATGATGATTTACAGAAGTGGATATAGTTTTCCCAAAATATTTAAACAGAAAATAAGCGTTTTAGAAACAGTGATTCCAGAAGAATATACAAGAAGCTCAACTTTGACCTAGAGCCTAGAGGTATAGGCTTTTCTGAAAACCTAAATTCAAGCACAGGATAGAACTCAAAATCTACATTTTCGTGCGAAAAGATCGAACAATTTAAGAGCAAAGCCATCACTATATTCTACATTTCTGCACTTCCAAATCCATCGACAAAGTGTGGATATGCAGTCATGGCAACTCATTCCCAAATCTAATTTTTTCTAGACATCTACCTGATGTCCTTCCTGGTCTTTCGGCAGATGGCCCTGCATTGGGATTCTGAAAACACAGGCACCAAAATGAATAACATTATTATATGAGAGAGAGGGTAACATTCTTCAGAGAAAAGAAATTCACAAATAGAAAGTTTAGATGCACTGACTCGTCCTCTTGAACTGGCACCAATCTGAGGATACTTCAATATAGTCCAATCAAACACATAGTCAAATTGGTAGCCTGCAACCATAACAACGTCAAGAAGCAAGCACAACATAAATCCACTGAAGTGTACACACTCATGGATGGTATATAATAACTCAAAACCACTCATGAGGAAACTCGAAAAATCTACAAGTTATGTTCATCTACCTTCACGAATAAATAAGTCCCTGAAAAGCCTCTTCAAATATGAATAATCTGGTTTGTCTTCAAATCGTAAAGATCGGCAATAGTGAAAATAAGATATGAACTCTGATGGGTATGATCTGCATAGCACCTGTTAAACACAAAATTGTCTCATGTGAACTCACATACTGCTGTAATACCAGAAGGGTAACAAGACAAACGAGGAGAACAAAGCCTAGCACTAAGTTTTGGGGGAATTATGCTGGTCCAAGATGAGCAGATCTCAGGCTCGCATACAGCAGCCATATCAGCCCTAAAATTTTATTACTTGAGCGTTCATCCAATCATATAAAGATATAACTAACAGAAAAATATAAATATGTTTGTAAAATATTACATATGAGATACTCCCTTCGTTCTTAAATATCTGTCGTTTAAAATTTTTGCACAGGAATTAAGGAAGCTATTAAATAGCTCTAATATGAGTAAAAAATAATGGCACAAGACTAAAATACTCTTATTCAATACGTATTGGGAAGGAAAAGAATATAAAAGGCACTAGCCTACACTTAATCTATTAAGCACTTCTTGGAAAACAGAGATAAGGGTAAATTTAGAAGAAAAAATATTAATTATGCTTTGGTTTCATTAAACGACAGATATTTAGGAACGGAGGAAGTATATCTTTGGATAATAAAAATCTAGTCCTATTTCTTTTATGCAAAGTAGTAAGAATTATAAATCATTGACTATCAAAAAACTCTTCACAAATCATTAGTCATCAGATTTGGCAGCATCAAACTTGAACTTCACAAGTATCCAGAACCAGCAACGTGTAAGAGGACCTAAAGCCAAAAAATCTTTACATGGCATAGTAAATGCAACTCAGGCACCACACTATCATGAAAAAATGAAGTGATGCAGTAGGTATTCCAACCATGAAAAATGCAGCCATTCAGGACGCTAGATTCAGTACCTCAACTGGTGTTAGCATTTTCTTTTCGCTGATCTTATCATATTTCTGTTTTTTGGTGCCAGCCTTCAATCCCTGCCAGGGAAGACTAACGAAACAAATTGTACACACTAAATTAGAAATGCAAAATGATAAGAATAATGCTGCGCCTGCACCAAAGATCCAAAACTAAAGAATCGGCCAAAAAAACTGATGAATATTCCACCTTCCTCTTAGAAGATACATAAGCACGTAGCCAAGCGACTCTAGATCATCCCTTCTGCTTTGTTCTGTGTGAAAAATTAACCATGATTAAATGGGAAATATTTGTGCTTGATGTGGACCTTTAAAAAAAGCCTATTATCAATTTTTTTTGACTATATAGCACTCACCAACGCCTAGGTGTGTGTTCACACTAGCATAGCGAGCTGTTCCTGTAAGATTCTTGTTTTCCCTGAAAGAGAACTTCAATTAGTTTTCAAAGCAAAAAATATGTCAAAAGCTAAGCTAAGACCCAGACACAACACAAAACAAAATAAAAGCCTAATAGAACTCAAATCCACAGAATTAGTATGGCCAAAAAATATTTGGTTAAGAACTGGATACTGAATAATGGCCCGCAACTGTTCAAAAAAAAAAATAATGGCCCGTAAGCACTGATTGAAGATCTGCAATCCGTGGCAGCTAAGATAAACAACTGTGAAGTTGGACAAAGAAATAAAAAATGCACGATATAGTACACCCAGTGTATCTTTAACTTTTGAACTTCCAACTTAAGCAGCAAGACAGCATCACAGAAATAAAAATCTTTGTTAGCCATGCTATATTCCAACTCAAAAGTTAGCTTGTTTTGTAGTAACAACTAAAAATATCATATCAATTGAGATAACCTTTTCAGAATATTTATAGATATTTTGTAAAACTTAAAACTAAGACACATACAGGAAAAAACTGCATGAAGCAAATTACTACTTGGCACACAAGAAGAGAAATATGGTAAGAAATTGGGAGAAGATCATCAAATAAGTGATCCATTGACCAATTTGTTAAGATCTAGGAATTGAGTATTAGGATTGAACCAAAAAATTCAGCACTAATTTTTGTGAATGCCAAAATTTCCATCGTCACGGAATCTTTAGCAACAAGATCAATTATCAATGCCAGAAAAACTGGTCTTCTGACAAAACAAATGAATGAAGGACAGAAACTGCCAGACTAACAACATAAAGAAGTTTCACGAAGATGGATGTGACACGAGACAAGAGCAACACATACAGCAAGAACATAAGCATACAGCAGCAACATATTAAAAAACAAATATGACTTTCAAGGTCAATATAGCATGTGTACCTGTATGGTATGTGCTTATGAGTCTGAAGATCCCTATACTTCTTAGCAAGGCCGAAGTCAATGACATATACCTGTGACAACAGTTAGAACTGTCACTGAGCAGATACTAAATTGGGATCAGAAAATGTGTTTCATGTTTTAACTGCAAATTTTAAAACTACTGTCTTATAAATCACCTACATGTTTTGTATACCATACCAGAATTCTCATCAGTAATCCTATACAAAATGTTGCATTAAGCAGTCATTGTAAGCAGGTTGCTTGCCAAAAGGATAAAAAAAAAAGCAAAAAGTGTAAAGTGAGGACATTACTCTACAAAAAAGGGTGAAAACTACAAAAAGTGCTTTTACCCACATTTAGCAAAACATTCACCCCAAAAATCTCATAACAAGATATGAACAAGACTGGGACAGTTATCAAGGCCATAAAATATGTAGCAAAACGAAAAAAAAAAAAACAAGTTACATAAAAAATAGTGGACATTTCACCTAATCAAAGGTAAGTTATAGAGGACATATTCAACCTTCAAGAAGAGGTTTCGCTGATAATATAAAATAAGAGGAAGATTGCAGCAGGCACTTGACTGTGAATGAACAACAAGCAACACTACAAGAAACACATGCATAACTCCCCTTTAAGACCAGGAAGTGTGTGGAAAGCTATGCAAACAGAATTTACGAAAACCAATTTTGCTACATTTATTGAGTGAAGCGAGGAATCCAGCCAACACATAAGACAAGAAACTTCCCACAATCTCATAATGATACAGACAGCAGAGCTCAAGAGGCGTCTCTCTGTGCTAACTAAATAAATTAGCTGTTTCAGAGAAATAGCAGCAATACATTTTTCTAGCACCAATCATCATAAGGAGCAAAGTTGTAGTTGTTAAAAGCACAGCAAGAATGCACATGCACTACAAAGCATAACACAAAATTCAAGACATATGCAAAAGTTACCTGATTAGCTTTACGACCTAGGCCCATTAAAAAGTTGTCCGGTTTTATATCGCGGTGAAGAAATCCTCTTGAATGCATGTATTCAACTCTATTAATCTAAAAATAACAAAAATAGAATCAACTTTTGGTTTTATACTCAAAGTAACATAACGCATCATCACTTGGCAGGTTAACGCATATTCCATCATAAAGAATAGCAGTATGTACTTACTAATTGATCTGCAAGCATTAGAACAGTTTTTAAAGAGAAAGTTCTGTTGCAATAGTTGAATAGGTCTTCCAAACTCGGTCCAAGAAGGTCAATAACCATGACATTATATTCAACCTCAACTCCAAACCATTTGAGGTTGGGAATCCCAGCTTCATGAAAGAAACATCACATCATCAGATTGATTTTCAAGAAAAATAAAATCAATGTTCGATATATAATGGGAATAATCGATTTCCACGTTTTTCATGGGTCTATATATAAATTTTTCCATTATTTCACCTGACCAAGGAATGGGGTAGGCTTTACTTTCTGATACCCATCTCCATTTTGATTTCTTATCTTCTTCTAGTTTGTGTCTTTATTTTAGATAGATGAGATGAAGAATTCTCCTCCAAATGAAAATTCATGTATAGTATCGGAGTAATTATTCATCCACAGTAAGGATACAGTGTCAACAATTAGATTCTACATTCTGAGAGTGCCCATTTGAATAAGGAGGGCAAAGATTCCGACAAAACCTTTCTCTCCAGTTAGTGGTCATAAGACTACAGAATGAATGTAATGGCATTTGAATCAATCACGTCTATAGAACAAAAGAGAAGCAGCAGCTGGATCCTAGCAAACCACCCTTTAGTATGCAGAACCTATCATTACCCAAACTGGACCTTCTAGGACAACAAAATCTGTATCTCATGTGGAATCCTATAGTATTGTTGCAGCACATACAACACACACAAACAGAGAGCGAGAGCTGAGAGAGAAAGGGAAAGAAGGACTTACTTCCTCCTTGAAGAAGCATATATATTTTTGACTCATAGTGTAGTTGAGGGTGCTTAGTCTTGACAGATTCCTGGTTATTGCAGTGACAAGAAGATTAAGCTTTAGATAAAATACTAAATCGCACAAAACAATTTGTAAACCTGAACTAAGTTTATAAGCAATTCAAACAAGATGTGAGGAAAAAAAAAATAACGTAGTTCATGTCCAGTATTTTTCATCATAATGCAACAACAAAAAGATGATATAATGTTCACAAAGTATGATGATTGCACAAGACAGAAAGATATCTCATGCAGAATACAGAGGTCATTTCAATTCCAAAGTGCCGTTGCTACTTCTATGCACAGATCTACAAAGCATAGCAGGTTGCTGCTCCTCTTATTTCTATAATGGTGGTGAAACAAAGAACACAAAGGATTGGGGGAAGCAAGTAGTAACATATTTAAAGGGAACCAAATTCAAAGCATTAAGTTGCTAATGGGATTAGCGATGCAAATTCAATCGAGAAACCAAATTTCAGTACATTCAATGTAGAACTGAAAGCAAATGCATCTGTCGTAATGCCATAAAAAACATACATAGAGGCAATCATCTAAATCCTGCAACAAACTGTTGCACTTCATATAACATTGTCAATCTTTCCTCAAAGAGTTCAAAGAAAGATAGGACAATACCAGCTTAATGGCGACTTCTTCTCCACTTTGTATATTAACACCTGAATCAATCAAGCAACCACATTAAAAAAAAAATTCTCTTAAATCACATTCCTAAAAAGCATGCCAGCAAAAAGCAAGAAAAGGTATTAAGTAAATCAAGGACATACCTAAATAAAGCTCACCAAAAGACCCACTCCCAATTTTTCTCCCCAGCTTAAACTTCCCACCGACAACATGATCCATGATTCAATATTCCTCCTCAATCAACTTTCCACAAATAAACCAATGTAATCAACTATTTGTGCTCAGATTTCCACCCAATTCAGCATCAATTGGGATTAAAAACCAAACTCACCAAGCAATCCAGCCCCAAAATTCCTCAAATTCAGCAAAACTAACAAGCCAACCGATTGCGAAAACATCGATCCACCTCAATTACACACCCAAACAAACCCAAAGGATAATTACAATCCCAAGAAAGAAAGGAAAAAAAGTGGGAATCAATAAAAGCCTAAAGAAGAAGAATCACGAACCACTTTCTTGGACTACATCATTCGATAATACAAACCCTAAATCTTCAATTACCGGGAACAAATCGAAACCCTAATTTCAAAAGCATTATGGAAGCTTATTTATTGATCGATAACACAACCATGTAAGAACAAGCAAATGTATTCAACTTTTTCTATAGTGAGAAATTAATCAAATAATAAAGAAGACTTTGGGTTTGGAAGAGGGGACAAACAACCAAGGATTGAGGGATCAGAAAGACAAAGACGAAAAAACAAAATTGTGTTGCGGAAAGCCAGAGAGAGAGAGAGAGAGAGTTTGAATCTGTGGGGATGGTGAAGGGAAACAGTTGGCGATAAATATTATTTGGGGTGTTTTTCGTTTTCTTTTTCTCTTTTTTTTTTTGTGCTTTTTCACATTTTTTTCCTAATTATGAGAGAAATAATGGAATTTTATCCACTGAAATATTTAAAAATTTTATGTCACCCCAAATTTTTATGTCACTCCCTCAAAAAAAAATATTTTATTGTAATTAGGGGTGACCATTGTGTCGTATTGGGTCGTGTTTCTATCGTGTCATTTCAAGTTCGTGTTGAACACTAATCAACTCTAACTTAATTTATTTAATTAATTGTGTCGTGTCATGTCGATCTATTTATTTTTATATCATGTTCGTGTTGACTCATATACTCCGTGAATAAAAAATTTAACTCTTAATTTTATGTCTAAAATTTTAGTGTTACTTAATTGAACCCATGCTCATATATTTTTTATAAATTAAAAATTAACTTAATAAATGTAACAATAAAAATGAGTAAAAATATTTTTTTTGGTACATAAATTAGGACACTATTTGATAAAATATAATAAAAAAATTGACATTTTATTTTTACAATAAAATATAATTATTATGACTTAATTTAAAAACTTAATACATAGGACCATTGAATTATTAGTGTTAATACATAGGACAATCCTATTAAGAGCTAACTTTTAGCCTTAATGTTCTGTTTGGTATGATAGAAAAATAGAAGGATAAAAAAATGGAAGGATAGAAAGTTGGAAGGATAAATAAAACATCATGTTTGGTAAAGAAGAAAAATATGAAGGATGAAAAAGTAGATGAATTAACTTTCCTTTCAACTCACTAAAATTAATCCCTTCAAAATTGGACAAAAAGTGGATGAAAAATTAATTATTTGTGTTGAAATATATCTTATTTGTCTATATATATTATATATATATATATATATATATATATATATATATATATATATATATATATTAATTTCATATAAAAATACATGATAAAATATGTATATATATATATTTAAATAAATTTTAAAATAAAAAATAAAAATAAAAATAAGATTTCAAATTAAAAAATATTTTTTTTATCTTAGGGGTGAAAATTTTTGACTCAACATGAATTTTATGATATGAACTTAATTATAACTTGAAACGAATTGGAAAATGACCGGACACGAAAACAAAAAATATAAAAGTCTCATAATTTTATGACTCAACACAAATTTGACATGACACGATACGATTTGATTATTACCCCTAATCTTAGCCAGCATAAAAAAAAAAATTAGTCATTTTTATTTTCTATCCTCTAAAGATAAAAAATATATATTTCTTACTTTTCATCCTTCCTACCAAACGGAACATAAAAATTCAACTGAGTTGAACTTCACCCCTTAAAAAAATAAAATTCTAAACTTATTTATAAATTTTCAATCAATTTTATAGTTTTCAATAATTTCCACTTAAATTTTATTATTTTTTCTCTCCTTTGTCTGCTGCCTACCGCGTTTGTGTTGTACGAAAAGTCCCCCTCTCTAATCCTATCCTAAACCAGCATGCCTCTCTTTCTCTCTATCTCTCTCTGTGAATATGTGGATTTAACTTTAAAATACTGGATTTTTGTCTTCCACTGATGGGATGAGTTGAATATAAAATGTAGAGTTGGAGTTGGAGTTGGAGTTGGTGGTCTAAGTTTAGAAATAGACCCTCTCTAATTTCTAACTCTCAATCATTGCAAGTTTACTTGGGCAGTTGAGACACTTGATTTTTTTAATCAGAAATTTAATACTTGAAGAAGTGTTGCACATCCCATCGTAAAAATATCTATGTTTTATAAAATAATAAGAAATATTTAGAGTCGTATAACGCGGACAAATTAAATATAATAAGAATTCACTCAATCAACCTCTCCATTAAAATTATAAAGTTTTCATTTTAAACTTGATCGAATTTCAAGTTCAACTTGAATCTTCTAACTCAATACTCTCCGCGTTTGCACTCGAATAGTATTAATATTGAGTTGATATGACTTTTTTACCCCAAACCAATCTGAAAATTTTTGACAAAGTATTGAATTTTTCAATTTCAATAACTTCCTCAATAAAAACCAGTCCAGCAATTATTATTACAAGAATACTATTTGATCATATCATTATCAGATAATCATGTCACTAAATTATGTTATTTTTTGGGTTAATTATTTTTTACTCCCTTGTAATTTTTGCTAAAAACACCTTATCTATTTGATGTTTAAAATTATGTACTTCATCCCCTTATAATTATATGTACCAAAGAAAAGTCATTGACATAGTTAATGGAATTAAAAAATTATTATATACCCATGTTTTAAATTTATATATATTTTTTTCTGATTTACTCTTGACTATAAAACCAATAAAACATAACAATAAACCGATACATTTCAATCAAATATGGCGAGTCTCTTATCCCACAAGTGAGGTTGCAATCTGGGACCGAAAATCACTTGTGTTTTTTTTACATTTTTTTGATTTGGGACCGACGCCCTACTTATTTTAATATTATATCATATATTATAAAAAATATTTTAGACACTTGAATAAAATATTCTTTTAGAGGAAAGTAATAAAAACAAAACCTACAACATGTTTTGGGCGTGTGGAGCATACTCTCCGATAACTTAGATGATATAAAAATTATTTCACTTCGTTACATAAGTATAATGAGATAATGTGAATAATTTTAAACGTCAAGTAGGTAAAGTATTTTTAGCCAAAACCACAGTGGGATAAAAAATAATTAATTCTTAATTTTTTAATTACAAATAACATTACTCAAAATATATTACCTTGTTTGATCACTAAAATGACCTCAATACCCCCCTTAAGGGTTATTGTGTCAAAACCATCATATCCCTGGTCTACATTAAATCCATGTTTGAGTGTTTGGACTACATACACAAGTTTAACCAAACCACTATAATAAAAACAAACAAAACCATGCACATTTAAAATAAATTATCTAGACCCATGTGCAGTCCAAGCAGAAGCAGTGTACAAGCTAGTGTCCTTCCACCCTAGTTTAAGTGTCCCATCTCCTTGAACAAGGCTATAACCATGAGCAGGAGGAAACATGTTGAGTATTAGCTGTGCTTGAGCCATGGAGTTTCCACTCATTGGAACTTGCATGAAGCAATTTCTTGCAAGCTCACTCCTCCAATGCCTAAACTTGTCCTCCCCACTCCGGGCCGGTCCGCCAATCGCCAATATGTTATTAATCTCCCTATAAAGAAGAGATTGCTCAACGCGATGTCGGTTTAAGTCATCACTCGGGAAAAGTGCCCCGAGAGAATCAAACATGGTGGAGTAGTAGTGGAGTGAACCAACGAATCGGTCTAGAAAAGACCCTCCATGTGAGATATCTTGCTCCACCAATGTTAAAACTCTAGGAGAAAGTTCTTGGAGGAGTCTCATTGTCTTCCAATCTGGGCCAGTGGCATCATAGAGAGAGTGTTGAAGCCAATGCACTGCAAGTGCTTCACCTCTCCTGATCTGAAGCATTGAAATATCAACATCACCAAACTTTTTGGTAACTGGGTGGAACTCAAATGACATTCCTAACCTCTTTGCAAAACTTGAGAGTTGCTTTCCTGTTTCAATCAAAAGCTCCATTGAAGTACCCATTCCTGTCATTCTCACTTGTGGAGGACCCTCCATGCGAGTAGCTAGTATGTGAAAGAGAGCCGGCCATTGAAGCCCCTGCATGATATCAAGGTCTATAATATGAACCCTTTCGTGGCGGTGGAGAGCCTCAAGAATGGCTTGGTTAGAGGTGAAGTGAGCAAATTTGATGAAGGGTGAGATGTTGTTGAACACTTGGAAGGAAGTATGAACACTTTTGTGGTCGATCAACGGAGAGCAAATACCTAACCATGAGTTTATAACCCTACTGGCCATGCCCTTAGCAAAATAAGCCACAACTCTTTCAGCACAAGAAGGGCCATAAGGGGAAGCCATTTGGGTAAGCTCAAGTAACATTCTATGAGCTTCACCTAGATTATCAACTGATATAGCCACTGCACACTCCAAAAGAAGAGTTATTAGGCTTAAACCCTGCTCATCTAGCCTATTCATTCCTTTGATCTCTGTGAAATTAGTTTGGTGATGATCTTCAAGCTCATCACAATAGTTTCTTCTTTGAATTTTTCTGGGTCTCAACTCACTCAACAGGGCCGGGACTAAGTTGTCCTCATACACCATGGCTATGTCTGTCTGCAAGTTATCGGTGCCGGTTTCCGGCAAGTCTTCGATGAGCTGCTTTGTGACATGCTCCACCCACTCGGACAGTTCATTCCTCTCCAAGTTTGTGCACCTGTTCTCAATTATGGGTTTTGAGTATGGGTTTGAACTAGCCCCTGCAAATCCAACAGTTGGGTAGTCCCATTGTTCATGGGGTTGGATTATTTCAAGAGCCCCTTGAACCATTTCAAACCCTCCTTTCATCTTTGATGTCCAAGACCAAGATGAATCTGTGTGTGTGTGAGAGAGAGAGAGGAGAAAGAGAGGAGAGAGGATAGAAGGGAGTGAGTGAGCTTGTGGTGAGAGGCTAAAAAGAGGAGTTGCAGGCCATATATGAAGGAGAAGTGGGCATGGGTGGCCAATGAAATAAAGGGAGAAATGGTCAGTGATAAGCAGATTTTAAAGTGACCTGATTATTCCAACAGCATGGCCGGCATAGTCAGACACATAGAAGAAGATAAATTGCCAAGTGCCAAAGTAATACACGTTGGATTAATAGTGATTTTCCCTATTAATTAAGTTTGGTTTTACGAAGGTTAGCAAGTCATGAAGGCCTTTGATTTTAATTTTATGATAAAATTTCAATCACATCCCTTCAAATTTATCATATTTTCAAACACACTCCTTCTATTATCAAAAACATCACCAACACCCCTTTTAGTTCACCCCCATTTATAACAAAAATAAATAATCTAAAATACCAAAATTGTCTCTATATAAATCTCAAA